GTGCATCTCTAAAAGAACCAACCTGGGAATTCATCAGAAATTAAGAATGAGAAACTCAGAGTGACTGCAAGAGAAGAGGGAAATTGTGAAAAAGAAAAGGTCAACAGAAAAAAAAAATCTCTCCTTGTGATATCCCGGTTCTCTCTACTAGATAGTCTGAAGTGAAAAAAAAAAAAAAAGAGTCTGAGCAAACTCCATCGTGGAAGTAAAGGCAGCTGCCCCTGCCGCCCACCACATCTTTCCTGAAGAGTCATGAGCGGGTCTAATCCCGTTTGTTCATTTAACAGGTGCGCGTCACCGCGTTCCACAGCAGCCTCCGGGGGATAAAAAGCTGAAGGAAATACGGGCCGCCCTCTGAAGATCAGCCTGGGAAATGGGTAACTAATTAGAACGCACGGTCTAGAATGTAATAGGCAAAATTACAGTTACACGAAAAGCTCTGGAAGCCGGGAGGAGGGACGAGAGCAGCGGCGCCCACAGGAACACAGAAACAGACACGGCGCGGCGGCGCAAGGCTGCTGGGCCCGGGGAGCACAGGCTTAGGGTAACACTGCCTCTGAAATGCCAGCCCTTAAATTCTGCCACAGGAAGCTCAGGCCCGCACAAAAGCCAAGGAATACCTTATTCTTTGACTCAGAGTCCACAGATCTGCATAGTACTTTTACAACTCTCCCACGACTCCTCACGCAGGGGGTAACATTTTCTTGCACACTGCATGACAATTTATGGAAACTGAAGGTTATTCGAGTCACTCACTTCTCAAACATTTATAAAAGTGACCAAGATACAACACAACTAAGGTACTCAGGAACTTACATCAAACTTTCATTTTTTTAAACTTATAAGCCTTTACTGGCTCATAAGATAAATACTTAATATAAAATTGTTCATATCACACCTACGAGATGTGCACACGGTGCAGCAGACCTCTCCTGTCTCACCCACTGCTCCCCTCAGCAGTGTATTTCGATCAGTTCTGCCTGTTCTGCTCCCCACTCTGTCTCTGGTGAATCCTCTCACCCCCGCACCTCTGGCCTGTACCCCAGTTCTTGTGTGCATAAATAAATAGATCTTTAAAAATAAATAAATCCAGGAGGCCAGTTTCTGAACAGACTAGAGGTACCACAGGAGTTCTTGGCTACCTTCACACCTGCTGAAGCCTAAATCAAACATCCATGGTCAGGTCTGAATTGTGCGGTTATCTTCTGGTATTATTCTTGCTCAGAACCTAGGGTTCTGAATCTTCCTGGGGAATTCCAAGAACACCAGAGCCAAATGTTACCCCTCATGTCTACAAAGCGATCTGATATATATAACCCAGACTTTCCTAAAGGTCATTGCTCCCACAGAACACTAACAACAATGGAAATTAATAGGTATGAAGCAAAAAATATTTAAAAATGAAATGTTCCTTGGTTGGGTACATTTGGAAGACGCTGACTTACATATAAAGAAGCAGATTTCTTAATTATAAGACATCTCTGGCCTTTTCATAGGGTTAGAAAAATCAGGAAGCTACGAGATGACTTCAGTGTATTCGTCCTGTTTTCAGACTGGGTCTCTAACTGCAGATGTTCCCATTTGTGTTTCATCTGGAAGATAGCTGTGCTCAACTGCAAATTTCTGACAAGGGACTAAGAAGGTCAAACCAGCTTTAGAGAGATGATGCCGGAAGCACAAGCGCACAGGCCCAGGAAAGGCGTGAGTCTAGAAGGTGGAGGCTGCAGAAGGGAGAAGACAAAGTAGTTGCCCGAGGATGGATTTCAGACGCGCTCTAAAGCAGACTGGCATGGGAAGGGACAAAGACCAAGTCAAAGGGCAGAGGTAATAAACACTACCATCAGGGTCTGGGGAAGCGGGAGGGAGCTGAAGGGGTTGAAGATCAGAAAGCCACACATGTTCTTCACTAAAGGGAAACTGAGTTATGAATGAATCTGGAAAGAAAATTCACCAACCATGGGTTCTCTTGGCTGTTTAGGCATTAATGAAATGTGCAAGAAAACAGACCCTCTACAATCTGAGCACACAAACATGAAAGATGGTAGACCGATAACTCGGAGATCTTTCTCAGTGGGGAGAGTCCATGAATCCACAAGACACGTGCACAGAGGCTATCTGACTAGCCATAGGAGTGCCCAAAGGGAGTAGGCTGCGGAGGAGAAGACAAAACATTGGAAAGACTCCAATGGAGAACGGCGGGAAGCAGCAGCATCGAGGAAGAGAGCCAACGCAAGCGAGGAGGTGAGCACAGAGGGAGCTTGGGCTGCAGCAAGGAAGCCAGGGTCAAGGAGAAACTGGGAAGGAACTGTAAACAGCAGATAAAAAGGAAATCTATTTTGCATAACGTCAAAGAACATCTTCAGCACTCCAGAACCCGATGTCACTTCAAGCTGTTTCATCTGAGGAACAGTATGTTCTCCACCAGTATCTTAAATGCAAGGAGTTTTTGCCAGTGTTCAATTCATTAGCAATGGCCTGTACAAACCCATGTTGATCTGCATTTGTTCTAGAAATACCTAGCTGGGGTGAACACCATGCATAAAGTCTATCTGCCTAGAAAGGCCAACTTAAGCTGGCCTGTCTCAGGGACACTCTGGACAAAGAAGAGGGAATTGCATAGGTGGTCAGCTTAGTATAGCTTCTGTCCGAGGCTGCACAGTGTTCAAAGGGCAATTCTCCAACCTGGCAGCATAAACCTAATTGAGAATTTTTGACCCCAAGACTTCAGTGGACCACTTTACTAGCTGACAATTCACAGTGGAAGAATGAATGAGCTATCTCCTTCGGGTAAAGTTAACAGGCCTGCCAGCTTACAGGAGAGGCAGGACAACGGTCAGCCACAGACCCAACAGGTCAGGTACTCTGTTCCAGAACGCCACCACCAGTGCTCCTGTATGCATGCTGTGCGCACACTTCTACAGACAAAGGTCCCAGCTCAGTCGACACATGGGAGAGGGGCTGAGGGATTTGGGGGAAGTAGGTCCCCACAATGCCTCCCAGAAAAACCAAAACTTTTCAGCACCACAGAACCCTTAGACAGTTTTGTAATCATTTCCCATTCAAATGAGGGGAAAGAGCCCGACTTTTGATTTCTTTTGCGATTTCATTTTTTAAAAAGAAATTTTAGTTTTCATATTTTCAAGTGCTGAATTTACCAACTAGAAGAGAAGAAACAATGCAAACATAACTCTGCAACCGAGCAGAAGACATTACCATTTCAGCTGGTTTCTTTCCAGTCTTTTTAAAGCAGCTGTGAAAACCCTGTAAATACAGTTTGTTCTCAGGAAAGTTCTAACTGGCCCCTATTTTTCAGCTACAAAGAAGTCTTTTACAAGTTGGGTGGTTTCTCCTAACTTATCTTAGCCTTACCACCTCAAGGTAACTCCCCAGCCAAAGCCCCAGTTCTCCTGAATTGTGGTCCTCTGTTCCATATACCCTAGGCTGCCTTATGCATAAAAGGAGAGAAACTGTCTCCCAGAATCTGCTGAATAACTTTTCTTTTTAGAAAAGGAGCCATGCCCACGAATGAAAACCCACATGCAATAAAAAGAATTTAAGATTGAAACGTGGGGCCTCCCTGGCGGCACAAGGGGGTAAGCACCATACTATGAAGCAATTCACAGCCTCAGCAGCATGAGTTCAATCCCTGGCTGGCCAGGGAGCAACCTACATGGTGTGGCAGACCTCTCCTGACTTGCCCGCTGCTCCCCTCAGCAGTGTACTTCGGTCAGTCTGTCTGTTCTGTTCCCCGCTCTGTATCCGGTGAGTCCTCTCACTGCCCCCCAACACCTCTGGCCTGTACCTCAGCTCTTGTATGCATACATAAAAATAAATCTTTAAAAAAAAGAAAAGAAAAAGATTGATATGACTTATATGTCAATAGCACATGAAAAATTAAATACACACACACACACACACACACACTAATTTGGTAAAAGGACCTCGAATTAGCCATGCAGTTTTCAATTCAGAAAGAGAGGCCACAGAACCCTGCCTCTTCCTGTATAAAAGGCTGGCCCTCTGCCCTCAGCAGGAATTCACCCCCATCCTCCAGTTGAGCCCAGATCTCTCCCACACAATTCCTTGCCAGGTACTGATGGTTCACACAAAGCACGGGAGAGAGCCCCTGCAAGTGCCCTGGCTCCCCGCTCAGCTCCCTTCAAACACCTCCTGTGATCACAGTGGTTTTGCCTGAAAAAATTCAACTTGTTTCTTCAGGAATCTACAGAAAAATGAGACAGTTCGCACTGAGTGTTTCCAGAGTCTTCATGTTGACTGACTATGAATTTGACCTCCAAGTACAATCATTGTGTGCAGGCAGATACTTTTATTTCACATTCAAAAGCCTGTCTGTTTCTTTAAAGCTTTCCCATTTTAAAATGCTGTGTGGTCCATGCCACTGGGCAAGGTCTCACCTAGGTTTCTTGAGAATATCAGCAAATAGAGCTGATCCAAGAGAAGGAAGAGAGTAAACAGCCTTTCCATAGTCCCGTCTGCACAGGAGTCAGTAATGTTTTGAAGCAGCCAGGGCTCTGCCTGGTGAGGAGAGTGAGGTCCCCCGACTCATCATTCACACCAAGGGACATGTGTTGCTTTCTAGGGAAAACAAGTGACTCTTAGGAGAGTTCATTCTCCCAAATGGGAGACCGGAAGTTAGAGGTAGGCAAGCTAGAAAAAAAAATACACTTACTTTAATTCACACTATGAAAATTATTAATCCAGTGACTTCACTAGAGATTGCAAAACTAAACCATGCTGTTCAAGCCAGAATGCACAGGCTCCAGTTCCACTCTGCACTAGTCATGTGACCTCAACAAGTCACCCGGCCTCTCTGAGCATCTGTAAAATGATGCTAAGGCCTGACCTCCCTACCTCACACATGGTCACCCTCACGAGGATCCGATACCATTAAGGAAAAGTCTGATGACAAGTTTAAGGTCTAAGGTACATTGCATACCCACATATTTGATGAATGCCTCAAATGATAAGGTTCACCTTACCAAGAGACAGGCAGCGCAGCTGGAAGACACACTGGGAGACAAGCAGTTGAGAAGACACACCTCTCAGATGGTTTTCTCCTAAAAAAACAACAGCATTCATGAATTCAATAAATAGTGCAGCAAGTAAAGCATACACCTTTCAAAATAAATTTTCAAGGGAAAATCTCAGAACATTGTGTGCATACATATATTATGGTTAAATATCAATGCAGAGAGAAGAACACTAATCAAATTCATGAATTTATGCTTTAATTTCCAAAGCTAAATATTAGCTTGATTGAGCAATATCTAGTGTGCCTCGATCTTGGGAATTAGCATATGAAAGCGCTGACTGCCCTTAGCTCTCTGCCCTCCCAGAGGTAGTACTGGTATATTTAAATATGGGGTACATTTATTAGCAGTCATGAACACTCTATAATCAAAGAACAACCTGTTACTTAAACAATGTGCTTAATTGTTATAAATAGAATCAGAAGAACACCTCATCAACCTCCAAGGCATCCCTTCCCTAGTGGGACATTAGCTAGACTCAAGTCAGGACACATCCTCCATAAATAGTGACGCAAACAACAAGAATATTCTATTTCTCATAAACGACACGTGTAAGTCAATTTTTATTTATGAAGTGTTTGGGGACAGTCTTACAAGCTCCTAAGCTCTCGGGAAGCACACTCGGCTTCCTTGTAGGTTGTAAACTGGGGCCCACTTCACCGGCTGCCTCTGTATGTCTGCTCTGTGCAAAACCCTGACAATCGCTTGGCTTTCAAAAGATGTTCTGGGATTATCACCTTTGAAACACAGCGGGAGCCCGTGTAGTGCACAGCTTGCCAGCGTCACATTCAGACACAGCCTCAGTCACCTGGGTGTGACAGGAGACAGCAGTTTTTCACGGCTGAAACAGGGAGGCAGGCATGACTCAGTCTTCCTACACCGGAGCTATAAAGAGGCATTAAGAGTCCACCGAAGCCTCGGCCAAGGGGGACTCTCCATGACTCCGGGTGTGTATTTCCTGCCCAGATTGCCCTCATGACCTCAGCCCCAGGAGGCTTCCTAGACATGCCACCAGTACCTCACACTCATGATTAAACCTGCCCCCCGCCACTGCTCTGGCTTCAGAGTTCCCCAACTCAATGAGCGGAACTAGCCAGGCAAGCAAGCCGAGCTACCAGGCCTCTCTGAACAGCCACGGCGCCCTCACCCAAATCTAGTCCGTGCCAGCTCATTCTCAGAGCACTTCCATGGCTCCCTTCTGCCTAAGAAATGAAAGACAGCTCCTCAAACCCACTCACCCTCCAGATGCCTCCTCCACCGGCCCCAGGACTAGCCCCCTCATTCGGTCACCTCCTGTTCTCCAGTGCACCACATTTCTCCACTCCTCCCTGCCTTGGTTCACACATGCCCTTCCTGCTGCCGGCTCCTGACAGGGCCCAACTCATCTCCACAGCCCAATCCCCTCTCAGGAAGGTGCGTGTAGACCAGGCCCCCCCAAGGCCAGCCAGTCACCCTGTCCTCGGAGCGCCCATGCTTAGCCACAATGCCAGCCCATGGGACAGAATCACTGCTTTCTAGGTGCTTCTGCCCCACTACACTGTGGGCTCCAGAGCGCAGCGCCTCTGGCTGCCCCCGGGGTGCCTGTGGCCCCTGAAGGAGCACCGGCTGGAGGGAGCTGACGCTAAACCCGCAGGGGGACACTACTCAGACTTCCACCACAGTGCGCTGCACCAAGGCCCCCCACCGCCGTGATCACCTTCTCAAAGGACGCGCTTTCCGCAAAGGAAAGAGGAGGAGGATGTTTAGCCGTTTTCTTTCCCGCCTCTCTAGAAACTCGGGACTTCTGCATTGTTTTATAAACAACTTGCACACAATGGCCCTGGCCAGCTGCTGCCTGCGGGGTGACTGAAACAAACCGCTGCCTGCCGCCTGCCACCTGCCTGCGCGGGACGGGGACGCTCAGGCCAGGGCGCTCCCTCCCCGCACGGCCACCGCCCCGGGGGAGGCGAAAACTCCGTCGGGCCACCCCGCGGGCTGAGCCTCAGTCTCCGCCCGACCTCCCGAGCCGGGCCGCCACCTCCACGCCGGGACCGCGAGGCGCGTGCGGCCGGAGTCCCGGGAGCCGGAAGCGCGCGGCCCGGCTGCGGCGTCTGCGGAGACCCGAGGCGGCTCCGAACGAGCCCCAGAAACGGCGACGTGCCCGGGAGTAAAACGGCGTCGGGGCGAGGGGGGCAAAAGCGCGGCCCCTGCGGACCAGCGCGCGCCCGTCCCGCCGCCCACTGGCAGCCCGCGGGCCCCGCCGCCCCCCAGACCCCGGCGGCCGCGCGCCCAGCCGGAGCCGGAGCCGGAGCCGGAGCCCGCGCCGCCCCGCCCCGCCCGCCGCGCTCATCCCGGGGAAGGGGAAGAACGACCCCAACTTCCCTTCGGGACGATGCAAACGCTCGCGGGAGGCCAGAGGGAGGCCACGCGACCCGTCCCGCCCTGGCACGCAAGCCCAGCCACCGCCACCGGCACCCCAGCCGCGCCCCCGGCCGCGCCCCCCAGCCAGGAGCATCTCCGTCCGCGGGCAGCACCTACGGGGCGAAGCCAGGTTGTGCGTGGCTCGCGGCAAAACTAGAGGCGCACTGGCACCAGGTCCCCCTCCAGCTGGAGGGTTCCTCTGTGCAACCACTGCAGGACACCCCGGTTCTAGTCACAGAAGGGCTCAAAGCCGCCGCCGCGGCACCTCCTGCCCAGCAGCCCTGAAGGCGCCCCCTTTCTCTGGCTGCAGGCAAGAAACACCCCAAACATCCCGATATGCTTCTCTCCCGCCCAAGCCGGCTCCAAGCCTCAGAGGGGATGGTTCCCAGAACGCCAGTTCTCACACTGGGGTGCAGGCGGTGGGGGGGGGATCCCCGCTGCGCAGCCCGCCCCCACCCTGGCACAAGTGGCCACTGATGCCCGCGCCTCGTCGCTCGGGGGTTGAGGGCCCCCCACACCCACTGTCCATCGCCACGTCACCGGGCCTCTCGAGCGAGCCAGTTGGGCTTCCAGCTCCTGCAGCCCGCCCGCACGAACCCCGCGCCCCTCAGCGGAGCTGGGGTTTAGATGCCCCCTGCAACCTTCTGGAAGTTTCCAAAGAATCCGCAAAAGCGGCCTCCAGAAGCGCCACCTAGGAGGGCAGCCCCATGGAGGCCTCAAAAACGCCAGCTTCCCTGGGGCACCCCACGGGCCCCCGACCAACCCAAGTGCAGGGGTGACGGGTTTCGGCGAGGCACCCACCCTGAAGCCACGCGAAGGGGCCTCACAGGCCAAGGCAGGACCGGCATTCTGAGGGGAACCCGCTGAGGAGACATCTGCTCTCTGAGGGGCCCACACCCCCCTGAGGGGACCCCCCGCTCACCGAGGGGCACCCCAGGGGTCCCCTGCTCAACCGAGGGGCACATGTTCTGAAAAGGCCCGCTCTGGCCTACCGGGCACTGGCTCACCGAAGAAGCACACACTCCCTCAGAAGACACCCGCTCTGAGGAGACACCCGCCCCTGAGGGAACACCCGCTCACCCAGGGTCCCACCCGCACCTCACCCGCCACGAGGGAAAATGGCTCCGCCGCCGCCAAGACTGCCCTCACCTCCTCGAAGCCTCCGAGGTCGCCCGCCACACAGGCCATGGGGCAGAGACAGCGCCCTCAGCGACGAGCGCGCTCTCCTGCCACGTCAGCCCCAAGTGGCACGCAGCCTACGCACCTCCCAGAATGCCCAGCGGGAGCCCGAGCATTTCCGTGCCCCCCCATCCAAGCCACCGCTTCCGGCCCCGCCCCGCCGCCCCCCACGTAGAGCCCCAGATACTACTTCCAGGGCCCCGTGGGCGTGGGGTTCCAGATACCACTTCCGGGGTCCCCCTCCCCCAGGGGTAGGGTTCCAGATACCACCTCTGGGGCCAAGCTCGGCTTCCACAGGGGTGGGCCCCCCCCCACCAAGAACCCCATGTGCGAGCTGCCCGGCCAGGGGTGCGAGCCAGAGGCTGGCCTCCGCCCCTGCGCCGTGGGGGGCCTCAATGGGACCCCGAGAGACCCACATCCCTCGGGGTCCAGAGTGGGTCACAGGCAGCGCCATGCAGGGTGGGCCTGGCATGAAGCCTGGGGATCCCAGCCCGTCCCCGCGGGCCATCGCCTGCTGTCCCGGACAGACGCCTGCCACCCTGCCCCCCAACTCCGTGGTCATCTCCAGCCGGTTGCTAAAAGCCCTGGCCGCCTCCCTCAGCCACCGGTCCTGCAGTGAATGCCTGGAGCACCGGAGTTAGCCCCCTTGTCTGCCCAGCGTGCAAGATCGAGAACCAGCTTTGCAATCCAGCACTTAATGCAGGACAAGAAAAGCAAATACTGATTTAACAGCACCATTAATATTAAGCTTTAGTCATTCAAAGTGCCGACGCCTGCCCCTCGGCCAAGGAGGACAGGTCCAGAGCTTTCCCCCTCGTAGGCGATTCTTCCTGGTTTCAACACCAAGCCACTCAAAATCATTTCACCACGTACACGTACATCAAAGCATCCTGGTGTACTCCTTAAATACATGTTCTTTTTTTATTTGTCGCCCATTCCTCAATAAAGGGGTGGGGGGGTACGCTGAAGGATGGTCTTCGGATGCATTCTTTTCTCCGTGCTAAAACGAAAGATCCTAAACTTCTTTGGCGTTCAGAAAGAAGCTCGTAAACTCGGCTTCAGGAGGCACATCTGAAAACAGCGTGAATTTCCCTAAAAGCGTTTTGAATAGAACATTCTGACTTGTCGCGGTCTTACAACTTTCGGGCCCCACAAACTTAATTATTAAGTGTAAAAGCTTCGGCATGGCCTGACGTCTGAATGACAGAGCAAAGAGCTGTTTAACGAGGCAGATCTTCATGTAACGCTTCTGAAATCCTAACGCACCACGTCTCGCGGGGGCAGAAAACCACGTCCCCTCTCCCCACACCCCTGTCCCTGGATTCTTTCAGAGCCAGATGACATGCAAGGGGGTGGTGGCAACCTGTACGGATCGATGCCTGTCATTTGCAAAACATGTCATCAGCATTAATTAACTTTAATTATGCAATTAGTACTGAGTTGTCAGCGACAACGTTCAAAAGAGGGACTTTAACTGCATTAATCCTAATAACGATCAGCCAAGCTTCCTCGGAAACGAGGCATGACTACCCCCCAAAGCAGAGAGATTAACAGCAACAGAGCAGAGTGGGAAGAGCTTGGGCTGAAGTGGAAACACTGCCTGGTCCTGGAGAATGTAATCAACGTCTCTGAAGCCAGAGCCCTCTCCACATCGTGCGGGATGATTAATGGTACTCGCTTCATACAAGTGGGAGGGTGTAATGGGACGGTACATGCAAATGCCTGGAAAGGGATCTGGCAGGACGGTGGCCCTGGTCAATGAGGCATTAATGACCATCAGGGACCACTATAAGGGGAGAGCTTGCGGACATCGGTCCCCCGCTGGACACACCATGGCGATTTGAGGACCTGCCACCTGAACCTCTGGCCTTGCTTAGAAGTACCTTACCTCAGGTCTCTCCCGCATGGAACTGGCCAACAGCCGTGAGTAGGCACCCTCAGAAAAACAGCATTCACGAGTAACTCTGCAGCAGGCCCCCAAAGTCCACGGAACTCTCCAAAGAAATTTCCTGGAAGACAAAACCAAACCAAACCAAATAAAACAAACTAAAACAAAACCCAAGGGATGTAAGGTTTTATCTCCGTGTGGTTCCCAAACTGCCAGTTGTTTGTTTTGTCTCCCCCAAATGGTAAGTATCTCATTCACACCTCTTGAGAGAAAAGAGAACACTTGTACCAAATTGCCATCAAGTGTCTCCTTGCCTGTGAGGAGACCTACACTCTCGTCCACCTCCGCTTCCTCCCCATGCGCATGGAGCTGGGGTGATTATAGCCTCCCCCGGCTGAAGTAGTCTGATCAATGCATGATTGGAGTTTCCACTAAAAGTCCCCCATTTTCCTGGTATAATATTAATATACAGTTGTATACCTTATTTAAGTATGGCCTGTTTTACTTGTGGGAAGATTCGGTGATAAATACAGGGGAGGAACTTAAGGAGCGCTCTTTTCATTTATTTTGAATTTGTAAAAAAACAATGAATTTGGAAGTATATAGCTTGTAGAGAATGGCCTGGATTTTGTTACGTACAACAAAGTCTCAGTCGACCCAGGAGCAGGTGCCTGCAAAAAGATCTGCTTCTAGAAGCCAGGGCTCTCTTAGGTAACATAGTTGTGGCTCCCTGGCAAAAATCCTGGAAACAGCCATGCTTTCTGGTGCTAAAAATGCCCTTTAGGGCCTCCCTGGTGGCACAAGGGGTTAAGACGCAACCTATGAAGCAATCTGCAGCCACTTCAGCATGAGTTCGATACCCAACCAGGGAGCTACTCACATGGTGCAGCAGACCTCTCCTGTCTCCCCGCTGCTCCCCTCAGCGTGTATTTCAGTCAATCTGCCTGTTCTGTTCCCCGCTCTGTCTCTGGTGAATCCCCAATGCCTCTGGCCTGTACCCCAGTTATCGTATGCATAAATAAATAAATCTTTAAAAAAAATGCCCTTTAGGCAAAAGCTGTGTGTACCCCATGGCCGGCACCACTTTAGTCCACGTCACCATCAGCTCCAGCCTGCCCGCCTGACTGGAGTGCTGGCGCCTTGTCCCCTCCACGCTGTTCTCCACCAGACAGCCAGAGTGCACCTCCAAAACTAAGTTCCTGTCACATCATTCCCATGGTGGGAATACTGTTGCCCAACCCACCAGCCCCTCCACTACTTCTCGCTGTCAAGGAAGACCCAGTCCTACCCTTAACTCCTCCGCCAGTGCTAGATGGGATGACTTCGCTCCTCACTCCACAGCAGTTACGTGCCAGATAGATAGACAGACAGACAGATAGTACTGATGATGTCTAGTTTGGGAGAGGCACCTAGCCACCATAGATGATGGTAGGTAGCTAGAGAGCTTTTACTAAATGTGATGACATGGGTGTGGCAAACTATGGAAGAGACTTGCTCTGGCCTTAAAATTAGGAGAAAAAAATAACGGTCCTTTCTGGTAGATCATTAACTAAAAAGACAAAAAAAAATCATAATACTTAAATATTGTCCCAAGAGAGTCTAAACACCTTTGTTTTATTCTTCCTCTAGCAGTTCTCAACCTAACAAGAGTAAGATTAGAACACTGAAATTACCTGTGTTCGCCAACCTGCAGGATGTCAGGGACCCCCAGAAGGATCTCATATCCAAGCCGGCCCTTACAGACAGCTGCCCAAGCCCCTCAATTTCTAGTCGAGGATATCGAAGCCCATTAAATCTTTCAGGAAGGATTATCCGGAATCTGAAGCTAGAAGGTTAGAAATAACTTGTATCCAGACAAGAAGCTCTGGCTGTTCTCACATTCTCATGGCCATATGTATTCTGCCCCACCCCCCAAAAGGTTACTTTCAAACACAGGGTGGAGAGGTTCCTAACTTCTTCCCAAATTCCCAACAAATAGAAAGATACATGCTCAAGTATATAAAAAATTGCATTCAATGAAAATAGTCTGAAAATCTTAGTTAAAAGATAAAACTGAAGAAATAGACTGAACTGTAGTCTGCAGGAAATGCTTTTACATGTAAAGGTGATGATAGTTAAAAGTAAAATCATGAAAAAGTAGATACCATGCGAATTCCAGTTCTCAGAAAGAGTGACAGTATTACATTAGACTAAGTAGACTGCAGATCAGGACTACTACAGAGTTCAATTCCAGAAGCCGGAGCAGAAAACAATTCCATTTACATAGACAAGAATGCAATCCATACATAGAAATCACCAGAACCAAGGAGGTGCCCCTTCCCACATACCTTGCCCTATGCATCTCGTCCATCTGGCTGTTCCTGAGTTACATCCTTTTATAATAAACCAGTAATCTAGCTTTTTAGAAAAAGAAGAAAGGACAGAAGGGAACGCTCCTGGGGCATTTGCAACAAGGAACAGCCTGGTTCAAGTTGACCTGAGAGTCTCCTGGCTCTGTGCCATGGAAGCCATTTTTCCTCTTATTAGATATTGAAGAGATCTCTCCTGTAGGTACATGGTGCCTGCATGCCCACGCACAGCCAGGCAGTCAGGGTTTCTGGGGAGTTACAGGTGGGCGTGACTAGATAGAGGAGGGTGAGTCGTCATCCCAATTTCCCAAGGCCAGACTTTCATTTATTATTTTATAATGGTGCCCTGAATATGCACAAACAGGATTTTTTTTTTTTTTTTTTGAATAAAGGACTCTTTCGCCACAGCTGCCTCCCAAACTACAAGTAATTCTTTGGGAAAGAAATGAACTCTCTGGCCCACAAATCCTCCCACGTGGGCAGTGCGTTCCAGTTCATTGCAGCTGAGGATCCCTGCCCTTCATCTGGCCCTCAGCGCAGACCTCTGGGCAAGACTGTGGTAATAGTGTTTTAACTGTCCTGACTCTCCCTGGTCTATCCAGCCACCAAAACCCACGAAGGTGGCAGGGGCTTCCCTGGGTTGGCAAACTGGCTTTGACAGAAGTTAGTTCCTCTTTCCCTCCCCAGTTAAACCCCAGGTCTCCGCTACACCTCCGTGTCTCCTGCCTCCTACAGTGGCACTACCTTGTGCCAGCCAGGCCACATTTTTCACCTGCCCAAGACTTGTGACTCTGAGCCTCTTGCTGCTTCTGGGCAGGTGCAGATATGACCACAACTTTGGGGCAGCTCACAGAGGGCAGGGACGACCCAGGGTTTTTCATCATCAGGTCCAGAGTGGTGGTGGTGGGGAGATTTGTGATTTGATGCTACAGTAAGTCAGAACCGTCTGTCCTCTGAGCTGCCTCAGCTTCTTCCAGAGCCTAGGTGATCCCGCACGGCTCTCGCCACACCCTGGCCTCCCTATAGCTCCAGCCTTGTTTGCCACTTCTCTTCTGATGGGAGATCTTAGGCAAGTGGTGCCTCCCTTCACCTCTCTCTCCTTGAAGTGGCTGGCACAAGGCCCCAGAGAGGTCCTGCCACCCAAGCCGTCCTGGGCAGCTCAAGCCCAAAGCCAGGCTTTGGGCACAGAACCATACGACGTTTTGTTTTGTTTTTACAGGAGAAAACATGTGCTCCTGAAGACTGTAAGCCAGGCGAGCTTGGCCCTGCGGTCATTTTTTTTCTTCAGCTTTTGTGTAGTTATTTGTGGCTTCGGTTGCTATGGAAAGAAAACACCACTTACCATGACAACTGTAATAGTTTAAGGCGCGCAGCTTGCCTCATGCCACGAAGCTTCAAAACCATCGAAACGTGGAGGGCTTGAAAATCCCTCCTTCACTACAATCAACCAAATATTCTTCTCCCCAGAAATGCCACATGAGTATTCTCCACTTTCTCTGGGTCACCTGTCACGAGAAGCCAACAGACATCACCAAGGAATAACCAAGGCTGGAAGCAAACGAAACTTCAGGACAAATTCAATGAAAATGGTCAGAAGGTGTGAAAGCACAAGTGGAGGCTCCTGGGCTCCTATTCCGCTCCAGAGTGGCCCCATCCCCGCACTTTCTGTCTCTTGGTGCTTTTTACCTCATTTTGCAGAAGAGAGAATCAGACCCAGGAAAGTTAAATAACTGGTCCAAATTGATGGAGCTGGATTCAAAGCCAAGCTGGAGCAGCTCCACCCAGCCTGCTGCCGCCCAGGTCGTCCTGCCACCGGCCCTTGTAGTCAGTCAAAAACTGAGGGTTCGCAGTGACCTTTTTTTTTAAAGCAGAAAATGAACATTTCTTGTTAAAAAAAAAATTGATCCACAGCTGTTGGTCTCCTGGTCAATAGAGCCGGGGAACCGCTGTAGTCCCTTGTCTTCTGCTCCCTCTGCCCTGGGTCAGATCCACAAGGTCAAGTTTCGAGGATGGGTAGCGGGCAGTCCCCCAGGCCCTGCTGAGACCCACTGAGATGGCTATGCAAGTGACAGACACGAGGAGGATGGCAAGCGTGGGGAGATGCTGGGGCCTCTGCGCACTGCTGGTGGGGAAGCAGAAAGGTGCAGCCACGTTGGGAAAAATGTCTGTGGTTCCTGCAAAGCTTCAACAGAGAGCTGGCACAGGGTCGCGTTTTCCCTCCGAGGAGCGTGCTTCAGAAGAGTGACACTTGGGTCCACACGAAATTGATCCAGGAATGCTGTGTGATATTATCCGCAACAGCCAGGAAGTGGAAACCCCGGCGTGCCAATGAACGAATGAATGATAAGGGAAAGACGGCTCTCCACGTCGACAGTGGAGTGTCGTGGTGACGAGCAAAGTACCAAGAGGTGCCACAGGACGGCTGACGCTGCGGGACACGAGCTAGTCACCGAGGGACCAACTGTCTGATTCCACTTCTAGCCCGGTACCTAGGGCGACGGCAAGTGGAACGGAGGGCTAGTGGCCATGGCCCCGAAGAAAGGGGGAGGGGGAGCTGTTTCCAGGGACAGGGGTCCGCTCTTGGAGGCGAAGAGTTCTGGAGCTGGGAGCACAGCAATGACCGTGTGTTTCACGACTGAAGCACACACTTAAAAAGGGAAAATTTTATATGTGAATTATCTATCAATTAAAAATTTGATACGAGAGGGCCTCCCCAGTGGCGCAGCGGTTGAGTGCTGGGCTGTGAAGCTGCCCGCAGCCTCTGCAGCACCAGTTCAATCCCCGGCCACCTGCAAGGGTCCCACATGGCGCGCAGACCTCTCCTGCCGCCCGCTGCTCCCCTCAGCAGTGTACTTCGGTCCTTCTGCCTGCTCTGCTCCCCGCTCTGGCTCCGGTGGATTCTCTCACCCTCCCGCGCTTCTGACTGTACCCAGTGCTTGCATAAATAAATAAATAAACAAACAAACAAATAAATAAATAAATAAAATTTGATACGAGAAAACTAGCCACTAGGAGGAGATGGTGGTGTGTACGTTAGAAACAAAAGGGTAGGCAGGAGAGGAAGTTGATCATTATGGGGAATCATGAAAGGTAGTGCACGGACCTGCCTGGCCAGGGCTTAGCTCATCGTATCGTGGAAGCAACCATCACCGCCACGGTGCCTCAACCCAAGGGTGCGCTTCATGCAAAGCAAAATATACATGTATCCTCATGATTAACTTAGACATCACACTAAATGAGTATAAAACGCAATTGATAATCAGTCATCGCGGCTAACTCGTCAGTGGCTAACTGGAGGGTACTAGGAAACCATTATGATGTGACTATACACTCATAATCTGTGTGAACACAACCCAGCGAGTTACATCACCGAACCCTACTCTTTCTAATAAGATCTGCCTCGTCCAGTTTTATCCAGTTACCATCCATTTTTATCATACCCTCGATAATAGAAATCTCTGCAGACTGCTAATGGCATACTGGGGTAAATTAACAATAACCTACTGGTTTTGTTAGAAGGGCATCAAAGCTCTTGATTTATAGCAAATATGGCAAAAGTTCTTGGCTACCCCGCGCAACAAATCATCACGAGCACTTTAGAAGAAAGAAAGGCGAGGAGATGCTGGGAAAGTGAACTGACTCCGTGGCACTGGGGCTCTGCCCTCCCCAAGTTACTGTTCTCTGAGGTGCAGCTAATGGTCCCCTGAGGGGCGGCTATGTTGAATCTAGCTGGTGAGTCTCTTTGTCTGGCAAGTTTGGCTTCTTTGCTTTTCTTTCTTTTTTTAATTTTCTTTTTTTCTTTTTTTTTTTTTTTTTTTTTTTTGTAGAACTAGGGTGCAGGCCAGAGGTACACGGGTGAGAGGATTCACCAGAGACTGAATGGGGAGCAGAACAGGCAGAACCATGAAATATACTGCTGAGGGGAGCAGCAGGCGAGGCACTTGAGGTCTGCTATGCCATGTGGGTCAGCTCCCTGGCTGGGGATTGAACACATGCTGCAGATAGCTTCATAGTGCTGAGACCTAACCCCCTAGGCCACCAGGGAGCCCCCCTGCTTTTTTCTTTCCAGAAAAGTTATTATTTTCCTTGCACTAAAGAAAATGACCAAGGAGGATACATATGGAGCGAAGCTACTAGGGTCACTCTAGATAGCTGTCAAATTGAAGTAGACCACAGGACAGGAGGGAGCTCAGAGGGAGACATGGACGGATGTGAGATATAGGACATGATAAAAGTGGAACCACTGATGTGGGAAAAGATAATTTACTCAGTAGATGGTACGGGAAAAATAATCTGGTCATTATGTGCAGAAAAATAGGTTTCTAGGTTTTCACTGAACAACCTGTGCAGGTGAATTCCAGGTAGTTTTAAGAGTAATTCTGAAAGGAAAAAAGAGTCACATCAGAAGAAAAATTGCAAAAAAAAAAAAAATTGTCTTTGGAGTAGG